CGGGGGGGGGGGGGGGGGGGGTGCGCGTGTGCGTGCGTGCGTGCGCGTGTGGAAGCGCGAATCTAGGGGTGACAGGATCTCTGTGCTGCTGGGAAGGTCCTTTCCGCCCAGGCTCCGTAGATTTCGCTTCCATTAAAAACAAACGCTAGAACGACCCAAGATCAGGGCAAGGTGGAAAAAGTCCCCTGCCCCCACCCCGATATGCAATAAAGGCGCCCCGGGTGAACAAAGGGGCACCCTTCCACCCTGCCACCTTCTCCCCACACGTGACTCGCATTGTTTTTATTAACATTCTCCCCAGGAGCCAAGCGTTGACTCCGCTGCAGAAAAAAAACGCCGCAAAATTCAATTTGCGAAGCCAAGTGCAGGCAAGAGCCTGTTGCTTGTCCGGGGATTTGTCCTCAAAACCTTGGGGCCTCAGTCCCCAGACAACGCCCCCCCCCTCCCCCCCGGAGAGCAGGGCAAGCCGGCTTGGCTAAGGACCTGCACCCACGCCAGGCCTGCACCCTCCTCGCACCCTCCGCAGAGCTGGAGGGAGAAGGCCTTGGAAAAGTATGGAAACAGGCCTTAAAAAGGCCGTGCTCTTCCTCCCGGGTGGAGAGATTAGACTCGTGCCCCTTCCCCCAGGAAGGCAAAGACCAAGATTTCCCGGGCCCTTTGCTGGGAAAGAGCAAAACGGAGCGAAAAGCGAAGAGAGGCAGGCGGAGGGAAGTGTGCAAAGCCATCACACGCCGCCCAGCGCGCTGGGGCAGTCCCAGCCCCGAGGCTGCTGGGCGGCAGGGGCCGGCGCCTCCGCTGAGCCCGGGCTGACTTCCACCCCCGGCGGCGCCAGCCCCTCGGCGACCCTGCTGCGGGCACTGGCGGCAAGTGCAACAGGTGAAAGCTGCAGGGCGCTCCCCTGCTCGCACACGTGCCGCGGCGTGGGGAACAAGCTGGTTCCGCAGCGAGGCGGGCTGGGCTCCCCCGGAGCCGCACTGTCCCGGCGCGTGTGTCCGTGTCGGAGCGCGTGTGGAGGGGGTGGTCGGAGCTCGGCTTGGCCCCACTCACAGCACCTAACTCCCTCTCCCCCTTCCTCTTCCAGTGTCCACTCCGCTAGGCCAGGGCAGAGTCAACCAGCTCGGGGGAGTTTTTATCAATGGCAGGCCTCTCCCCAACCACATCCGACACAAGATAGTGGAGATGGCCCATCATGGGATAAGGCCCTGTGTCATCTCTCGCCAGCTGCGTGTATCCCACGGCTGCGTGTCCAAAATCCTCTGCAGGTACCAGGAGACGGGCTCCATCCGGCCGGGGGCCATCGGGGGCAGCAAGCCCAAGGTGAGGAGATGAGCAGCCCAGCACCTGCGGGGGCAGGGGGCAAGGGGCCGCTCCAGTGCCCGGCCTGGCTGGGAGGCGAGGGTGCGCAGCCCCTGGCAGGATGGGGCCGGGGAGCCAGGAGCTGGAGTCGGGGTAGATGTGGCCTCGGATCTGCCGAATCTGACTCGTGTTGGCAGGCTTTGTACCAGGGCCGCATGAGCTCGGGGTGCTGGAGAGGGCAGCCCGGGTAAGGGCACGGGCAGACCCTGCTGGGGCAGCGCAGGATCCAGCAAGCTTCTCGCTGGACGGGGTGAGAAGTGCTCTCACCACTGCGCCTGAAACACACCGGCTTTAATTTCATTTATTTTTAAAATCACTTATGGAGCAAAACGCTTCTGGCCTGAGCCAACCACCTACATGGGGCCGCTCCAGGGCCGTGGCACTTCTGGGGAAGGGGCCGATCAAGGGCTCAACTGAAGTCAAAGCGCCTGTCCAATGGGTCAGGGTGAGACTGGAAAGGATCAGGTCCTTTATTCCGGAGTGTTGCTTGGGTAGATCTCGAGTAACAGCCTGCCCACCGCTCTCTCTATTTCTCTCTGTTTCTCGGGGTCTGTCTAACTTGTCTTCTGAAAAGCTACTCGCATTTATACACACATGCCAAGGAAGAGTCGACCCGCGGTTCACAGACCAGTGCAGATCCCTGCAGAAATCTCAGCCCGGTCGCATGACTCCGGATCGCATCTCTTTCCCCTAAACAGCTCAGGGTTTCTTTTGCGTTTCTCAGGGACGTTTCCCATCTGCTGCTCCCTGGAGTTGGAAAGTTTCTGCGCGGAGGGCTGGCGGAGCCCTGTAGCCTGCCGGGCACGTCGTGCGCCGCGCCGGTCCCAGCCCGCCCTGCCCCACTTAGCGCGAGTCGGGCAGCCAGGAGAGGGCTCGGGGCGCGCGTTTGTCCGGCTCTGTTGCCGCTCTGCGGGCGGATCCGCACGGTCCTGCTCCGTGCCTCGCTCGGAGCTCCGGGGGGCTCCGGCTCTGCCCCTCGCGACTGCTGCCTTCGCAGCGCTGCCGGGGCATCTCTGGCCTGGCCCTGCCCGCAGCCTGTGACTCCTCCGGGACGGTTTCAGGACTCGGGGCATCGCGCCCGCTTCCTTGGTCTCCCCGCGACTGCTCCCTGGGCACCAGCGCCCTGTGCTCCTGCCCTCCTGTCCTTTGATCTCGGCGGCCCCGAGTCCCTTTTAAAAGCAGACGAACTAGATCATTCCGGGGGTGGGTCTCTGCGGCTCCCGCAGCAGCTGGGGAAATCCGGAGCGACTCCGTTCAGGTGCGAGGAGTTACTCCGGGTTTCGGCGGCGGGACCCAGGCCTGTCCGGCTCCCCTGCAAACTCGGTGCCCGCCTGCTTTGTCTCTATTAAAGCAGGTGACGACGCCGGACGTAGAGAAGAAAATCGAGGAGTACAAGCGGGAGAACGCGGGCATGTTCAGCTGGGAGATCCGGGACAAGCTGCTCAAGGACGGGGTCTGCGATCGCAACACGGTCCCCTCAGGTACCGGGCTCCAGCCCCACTGCCCCGCGCGGGGCTACTGGTCGAAGCGCCCCTTCCCGCCCTCTGCTGGGGTGCGACCGCGGGATCAGCCTGGGATCCGCTGGGAAGGGAAAGAGGTTAACTTGAGCTCCTAAGCGGGGACAGCAGGGGCCCTGCTCCCCTGCCGGGAGCTGCGACAGGACCGAGGACCCCTGTGCTGTGCTGGCCGCTTGGTTTTTAACTAACATGAGCAGTAAAACAAAAAGCAGCTGCATCTCTGCCCCCCCTGTCCCCCCTCTTTGGGCGCCGGGGATGAGGACGCGGGGCACCGCACTGCGCGGG